ACCCATCATGTCATCAGCAATGATGTCATCCATCCCAGGCGGAGGGTCCTCGTGATCTATCCAATTTGCCTCCTGAAAGGTTCCAATTGTAGCAAGGCGATCAGCCGCAAAGTTTTGCTCTCGAAAGATGTTTTTGAACTCAAGCCTTATAAACTTTCTTTGCCAGTTATGCTTAATCTAATCAATGATATCGCGATTAGGGCCCCTAAGAGAAGTGCACTCGGCCATCCACTTTATAACTTCACTCGCGTCTGTCTGAACCTCAAGTTCCTTAACACCCTTTTCCCAAGCCCACTCAATGCCTCTAGCAATTGCCATGACTTTCACTGACGTCGCACAATTTGGACTAACATTAGCCGTAAAGCCCCCTTTCCACTCACCTCTTCTGTTTCGGAGGATTCCGCCGATGCCTGCTTTGTTGATAAGTGATTTGCAGCTCCCGTCAACGTTAAGGGTCCATTCACAATTCTGAGTCATCCTCCACTTAAGCGGGTGATCGGTATAATTGGTAAAATTGCTCACCATTTGTTGCCTTGCAAAAGCTATGTTGGTTTCTTTGACCGCCTCTTTGATCCAACATGGCTTTCGTCTATCATCAAGCTCCTCCCTGCCAAACGTCATAGCATTTCTCCACCGCCAGATCCACCAGCAAGCAGTGGCAAAAATGATGCCCCAGTCACCATTGATGTTGTTGTTTCTCTTTTGCAAAAGATTTGCATGGATCCAATTCTTGACGCCACCACCAGTGTTTGTATCCACATTACCTCCAATGTTGTTCCAGACATGTGTAGCCAAGCAGCAGAACCAATGGCAACAAACCCTAGCGGAGTCTAAGGAGCAGATCAGAGCCCGTTGGATGGGATTCTGAGACTGCGTATTTGAATATTGCAAGCAAATTTCAAATACTTACATTTAGCATTTGTGTACTGCACTTAGTATTCAAACACTAGACGAACAACATACACGTTGGAATTGGTTCGTATTAACAGATGCATCGAGTCTGATTTTCTCTATAAAATATAAAGGTCATATGGTGTGGTTTAGACACAAAACATTGATCACACATATACTCAATTCTAGTAAAATAATACCCCAGTCCCGTTAAACTTGTATACTTAGAAAAAAGTACTCCCTTCTTTTGGTAAAAGTGTTCCTCTTTTGACTTTGTGTAAAAATAAGGAAGTACGGAGTATTAAATTGTTGTTGACTTCCAATTTTGCCCTTGATATGATAGGTAAAAGTAAAATATGATAGATAGATTATTAGAGATAAAGTATGATGTGATAGGTAGGGTATAAAAAAGTAAGGGTAAAAGTGGTTTTTTAATAGAAAATGGAAGTGTTTTGTTGGAAATGAAAAAAATGAAAGAGGAAGTGTTTTTGAGAACGGGGGGAGTATGATTTAAGGGATGTGTAGTATGAGTGTTATTTTTCAATTAGTCCTTATTTTATAGTAGGGTAGATTAGAATGTGATCAGTGGCGGATCCAGGAAATTTTTCCACGGGGGGCATTACTCCCACCTTTTCTTCCAAATTGATCTATAAACAAGTATCAAAACAAACAATATGCTCTGTCCGCTTTCACACTGCATTCTAACCAATTACGATATTTATCAAACCAGTCTTCAATAAAATAATGCTTAGGACTATTCCCAATCATTCTATGTGGAAAATAATGGCCACAGGGTCGACATGGTCCTCTAATCAAATTTTTTCTTCTTATTTCATCTCTTTGATTAGGGTGATAATCTAAAATTCTTTTTCTTTTCGAAAGATTCCGCGGAAGATCACTTAAATCAATTTATTTAGGTAGTGAATGTGCAGATGGTCCAGAATCGGGTGTCGATGGAGTTTTTCGTTTAAAAAACTTCTCCATTATCTAAAAAAATAATGTAATAAACTTTTTTAGAAAATTTAAAACAAAAATTGCAATAAATTATATTAAAGAATATCAATTGACAAATAAAATCTTTTCAGAGTAATCAATTCTAATGTTTTATACGGAGTATTAATAATAATAATAATAATAAACATAAGAAAGCAAGAAATTAAACAATTTCATTTCATAGAAAATAAAAAGTTAAATCAAAACATAAAAAATTCCCACATAATGACATAATCACATAAACCTAATTTTTAGATTTATATAATTCATTAGATCACAATTGACAATGGTAAAAAAATCATAATACCTGAAAATCTAGACCAAAATTCTGGAAGGATTCGCTAATCGCCATTCGCAAAGCACAAAGGAAAAATCGAATGTGGTGTGTGCAGTGGCCAGTGTGCTCTGCCGATAGAAATTCAATGGGAAAAGGGAGTATTTTTTTAATGATTGGGCTTTGAACAATTGGATATTTGTGTTGGGCACTTGGGCTAGACATTATTTGGAATGAATTGGGCCACTGGGGGCAATATCTAAATTTGAATGGAGGCATAACATATAAAACTATAAAAAAAATTATTTAAAAAAAAAATCACTGGAGGCAGCTGCCCCTATAATCCCTAGGGTAGATCTGCCCATGGATGTGATGCGTAGATTAATAGTGAATAGATGTAAAATGATAGATAGAATAATACAAACGGTCTTTGTTCATTTCATCATTTTACATTCATATACGACAACCATAATAATATCAGTGATTATTAATTAGGAAAAGTTATCTCAAATAATCCACTTTTTCGTGATTTTTAAAAAACAATCTCACTTTTCACGGTCACCAGAAATAATCACACCTTCTGAATGTGTGCGAGTATTGCGTCGCCGTTAAAAAACTAACGGCGACTTAACGGAGTTTTTAGAAAATGCCTATTTTATTTTTGAAAGAGCACTAAAATGTAAGATTATTTGAGATAATTTTTCCTATTAATAATAATAACAGGTAAGGCATTCCCCGGAAGAAAAGAGTTAATGGTCCTAGTAAAGGACATATTTGATTTGGTGGGACAAATGGATTTTGTGGATGTGTTTCCCTCATGGAAAATTCTTGGCCTCCTGTTTGGGAACAAGAAGAGGATGATGAGAGTTCACAGCCAGACAGACAAAATCATGGAAAACATCATAAGACAACGCAGGAAAAGAGTGGAAGAAAGCAATAATAAATGTGAGGTTATTGAAGATGAATACCATGTTGATGTCCTCTTAAGATTGATGCATTCTCAGACCCTTCAAGTACCCATCACCCATGACAACATCAAAGCCCTAATCCTCGTACGCATATTTTTCCTCTTCTTCTAGAGCTGACAAATCCGTCGGTTTGGTTGAATTATACGGACTATAATACTTGTTCATCACACAGTGTCTTCGAATTCGGGCCGACTCAACGAATTACGAACTTTTATATTTTAAAATAATGAAACCAAATCATATGATAGCCACTTTTTATTTTGTATGGAGCAGGATATGTTAGGAGGAAGAGTGACATCAACAATAACAATTGTATGGGCCATGTCAGAAATGATGAAAAACCCCAAGGTTTTAGCCAGGGCACAAATGGAGGTGAGAGAAGTGTTCAAATTATCAGGAAAAGATGAAGAAGATGGAGTACTCCTTGAAGAGAAAGACATTGCAAAGAGGTTGCCATACCTAAACTCAGTGGTTAAAGAGACTCTAAGGTGCCACCCCCCGGCTCCCCTTTTGCTTCCTCGCGAGTGCATGGAGGAAACCACGGTGAGCGGAGGGTACACCGTACAGCGGGGAACCCAAGTGCTGGTCAACGCGTGGGCCATCGCTCGGGATCCCCGCTACTGGGTGGACCCAGAAAGGTTCGTCCCAGAGAGGTTTGAAAAGGACCCATCCATAAGCTTCATGGGGAATAGTTTCGAGTTCTTACCTTTCGGTTCTGGGATGAGGACGTGCCCGGGGATCGAACCTGGTTTGGCCACCGCTCACTCTGCATTGGCCCACTTGCTCTTCCACTTTGACTGGGCGTTTCCTCCCGGAATCACCATTGATTCCTTTGATCTTGCAGAGAAGCCTGGAGTTGCGGTTGAAAGAAGGAATCCGCTTTGCTTGATTCCAACCCCTCGTGTTGTTGCTTAAATGATCTCATCTATAAGATTAATTCAACTATGTATCCCAAAATTATCTACCATGAATAAATGTGTTTGTTATATGCCAAAAAGTGTGTGTGTTATGAGTAGTTAGATCTGGCATAAAATTTACGTGGCGTGTTTTTAATTTGAGATTTTGATAATTCTGAGTTTTGATGAGAGAATTTGTTGATTGAACTTGAAAATTGGTCGACACGCTGACATTAGAGTTTTTAAAAATAATACTCGGTATATATACTTTAATGTTAAAAGTAATGTTTGGAGTAACAAAAAAAAGATTGTGTTCTTATTAGTGTATATATAAACCTAACCAATACTTTCAAACAAAGTTTTAATGATAACAAAAATGGAGTAGTTATCATATTTTTTTTAAAAAAAAAGGGATTCGTATATAGTTTTTTATATTATTTATAATATTGTTGAATATATATCAGATTGACAAATGAATCAATTGTTTGCTCCCTATTTACGGAAGCTTGTCTTGGTGGTTTTGATGACATTTTGATTTATAGGCCATCCATGGCTCACCATCTTGAACACTTGAGGACGATTTTCTTGACATCCTAATAAATTCCGTAAGAATGTCATGTCATAAATTTATAGTCAAGACATAACTTAGGCCTATAGGTGTGTATGCTCAAGAGGCCACGGGAAGGCGCCACGTCAGTAGGCGTGGGAACACCACCCCCGGCCCCTGGGCGCGGGACAGAGGGCTCGAGCATGCCCTTCGATCTTTCCCGTTCCATTTTTGCTGTTTTTTTTTTCTTCTCATTCATTTGTTTATTCTACTCCGTATTGGCCGTCGGGTTCTCTTCCCACGACTAAATTTACAGCGGGAAGGAATGTGCATAGCGTTTAAGGTAGAAATTACACCTAATAGTAATTAATAACACAACAAAATATGTCTCCTGGGGGGTGGAAGTGTGTGGAGAAAATTATAAGAAGGGAAATTTACTTAAATATTTCTTATAAGAATTCGTACAACTTAACAGACCATGAAATATGTCTATGTATGTCTGTAAGAAGCTGGCGTCATTTTGATTTACCTACCATACCCCCACCATCAATAGAACTTCAGTTTCTGTTGGCATCCTTCACCTATATATATGCAAAACATCAATAATTGTTAGGTTGTCTAGGGTATATACCCCTAACTTATACTCTCCCAGTCAAATTACTCTTTATTTTTGGGGACAATAATTACAAATGAGAATGAAAAGCAATGTAGGGGAGAGCTAGCTAGGAACGTATAGTAATAGGGTGGTGATGAATGATGATGATGATGACAAACCTGGTCTTAGAGCTGCCAAGAGTAAGCTCGAGCTCATCCGGACCGCACTCCTCGTGAATCCTCTCCCCTTCCCACGGCTTCACCAACCCCATCGTCGTCCCAAACACTGACTCGTCCCGCACGACGTCACCCATCGGAACGTCGGAGCAAGTAACGACGACGGGCGAACACGTCCTGCTCATCTGTCCGGGAGTCGAGACGCGGGGCCGGAAGGGGCGGGCCGTGGAGCCGGTCGGGTTGTGGGAGAGGAGAGAGTGAGTTGGAGAATGTATCAGAGACGGAGAAGGGACGAAATTTGAGTAATAATTATAGCGTGTCGGGGTCCGGGATGTTGGGGAGCTTGTGGGAGGGGTGATGGGAGCACTAATGGAGCCTCCTCCTCCATGGAAGTAGTAGTGAGGAAACTTGGAGGAGGAGGAGGAGGAGAGGTTTTTGAGCCATGGGATAAGGGAACTATTCCCTTCAAGATTGACATTGTAATTAGGGGGTGCATGATGATAAGAGGAAGAAGCTGGGCTACTGTGGAAGGAGGAGGAGGATGGGCTTGGGTTGTAAGAGGTGCATGGGCTTGGCTGGTAAGAGGAACATGGGCTAGGCAGTATAGAGCACCCTATGAAATCCATGCTTTTCTCCACAGGTTTACATCCCTACAATTCATGATCAACACAGTAAACTAATAATAAACTGACTTGAAACACTTGTGCCAATTATTATCACTGGAGTAAATAATGCCAATTTAACCATGAAAATGATCTCCTGATATAATTAATGCCAAGTTAGAGACATTTTCTGCCATTCCCCTGTGCCAATCCAAAAACTAATTAATGCTACCAGCAGTACATACAATAACATACAGTGGGATGTTATACCAAATAAAAAGGTTTTCAATATTATTATGCTATCATTGTATAAAACCTTGAATTGAGAGCTAAATCCCAACATAAATCTCTACTTGGTAAGATACTCCCCTTTGTCCCTCAAACATGTTTGAACTGGCCAATTGGGATAGATTTTCACATAATTTTTGGTATTTAATTTCCCATAATGTCCCTAAAGTAGATTCGATTTCCTAGGTAGGGATAGAGTTGATGGGATAGGAATATATTAAGTTTGTTACGGAGTAGATATGGATTACTCAGGGTAAAATTGACATTCCAGAGAGGATAGTTCTCTCTATGAAATTGAAGTGTGAAACTTTATGAAACAACCAAATAAAAGAGTGAAAATTGGAGTAAAATGATGGGTTAAAGTAGTGGGAACTAGGAGAAGAATATGGATGAACCAATAGATCAAAAACAATTTATCAAATCGTAGCATGAGAGTAGTGGATAATGGATATTACTAATCAAGAACATAAAGACAAAACATCCAAAAACCTTTTTTTGAAGTACTTGCAACCACATGTGACATTGGAAATGATCATTCACTCTCAATGGAACACATTCTGGGTTAATTAAGATGTACTAGAACTTAGAATTATTACTTGGTTTCAGCCTGTATAGCATTTTAGCCAAATTAAAATGGGCAGTGCCTCGTTCGGGGATCAATGCCTTAATAATGATTGGACGGCACATGTAATACTAATAATAATAGGACAAGGCACCAAAAAACAGGTAAAGGACAATTATTTCTGAAAGCCATTTTTTTTCACTTCTCATTTGTATTCACATTGTACAGTGTGACCCAAATAATGAACCTCCCAATAGTGCATCAAAGTCATGCGAAATAAAGTTTCACAAAAGTGGCAAGGGTAAAAAAAGGTACAGATTGGGGGGGGGGGGACTAAAGAAACAGGGGGAAATAAAAGGGTAAACTCTTGCAAATGATGAAAATAGTAAAAAGCAAAGGCAATTGACCTTAAAGCATGCTTGCACCAAATTTATGATAGGAAAAGATGGAAAAGAGACTTCAAAATTAAATTATGCTCATGTGGTTGTAATCTGGAAAAAAGAAATTGGAAAAAGATCAATCTAAAAGGGTACTATGATCTTTCGAATCCCAAGAAGATTTTGGAGAGTAAATGGCAAAATCTTTACCTTTTTCCTCTTTGAAAATATAGGGAGATTTTTTTTGTTCTTGTACAAATATCTTGGTTTTTTGTTTTTTTTTTGTTTTTGCTTAATCTTAAGTTTAGCATTTTGAAAAGTTGAAAGTTAATCCAAAAGTTACATGGTTGTGTAATCTTTGGCTAGGTCATAAGAAATCTCATGATTTTTTAAATCATTTTATTTACAAATTGGTACATCAATAAGAAATAAAAATTATATATTGACAAATTACATCAAAAATTTTGTAAAATAAAAATTGACAAGAATATTTTATTTTATCAAATAATCAATGAAAAGATAAATACAAGCCAAAGTTATCGATAAGAAGTAGAAAATAAAATTATAATCAAAATTCTAATTAAGATCGTTTTGTACTCTGTATGTAGTAAGCCAATCTCAAGTCTCAACAAACACTACTGGTTGAGAAGATCGTTTTGTACCGTACCACACGTAGCCGGCTCGCACGTTAACAGTCACATTTCGAGAACTCGCCGGGATGACTCCCTCACGAAGAAGCGTAACTTATCATAGGGGCATCTGCTAAGTTGCGCCATGGGAACACCGACTAACTTGCGCCAACAATGGCGATCGCCGATTCGGCCCGTGATACAACCGCATACGCGGTAATTTCGCGAAAATTAGCAGAGATAGAGAGATGATCGGCCATGAAATCGAAGTAGCATAGCAGATTAAAGAGGCAATTTGACAAATTTGCCGGAATTCCATTCATCAGCTATATCTGAGAATTGAAAGATCAATTCTCGATCTGAACGCGGATTTACAGAGCAATAACTGAGAAAACATAAATGTACCTTCCGATAGGTGGTTCCGTCGGGCTCGACGGTCCAGCCGGCCTCGTGGCAGAGGGCTTTGAGGACCTCGTTGTTGTCGCAGTGCTTGGGGAGGCGGTAGTTTCCGTACAGTCTGAGTCCGGCGAATATTTTGGCCGCAATGGCCCTCCGCCGCCGCTCTCGCCGTTTGTTGTTCTCCCGCTCTCGCCACGTCGGCATCCTACACCCCGACGGCATCCCCTGGACCAAAACGCCGGGCGGATTCAGTTTACTGAGTCGAACAACGATCACGCCTCCATTTTTGTTGCAAGACTGAGTAAAATCGCCGGCATGAAGTAGGAAAGAGTTTTGAGGGTCTAAGAGGAAATGGGGAAAACCGGAAGAAGCTCGCCGTGTACTTCGTAGATGCCCAGAAAAGTTTGTGGCGCTCAAAAAGTTTGTATGACTGAGTTAACTCGCCGGAATTAAAACATACATGTCTATTAATATCTATTCTTCCCATTTGACTTTTTCATGGTCTTCAATATTGCACTTTGACCATTAATATCTATATTTGCACATAGGTATACTACGTACAGAGTATTTTATAAAAATTTGATATTTGAAAACTATGTTTCATTATGAATATATTGATATTAAATTTACATCATAATATAATGTGTTTTTTTCACAAATCGTAGTCAAAGTTAATAAACTTTGACCAAGAAATGTCAAATGTGAAGAACATTTCCGGACAAAGAGAGTACACACATTCCTAACTTTTATTGCCTCGGATCTCATATTTTTTTAACATTGATATTTAGATTTTTAATAAAGATATATATCATAAAAATTCACAATTGTATTTCAAAACAAATCATTTGGTCTTAAATTTACAACAAAATTTAATTTATTATTTTTATAATTTACGAGTTGGAATAAGATATAAGAGGGAGGAAATATTCAATTTGGAATAAGATATGAGATGGAGGAAATATTCAATTTGATTTTCTTAAATTTAAAAAATGTAAATTAAAAAAAGTACCGATGATTGTCTTTGTCTTTGAATATTTGTTCATTTTTTACTTTTTGTAGTTAATCATTTTTTAGATTTGATCTCGAATTAAATAAAAATTATATGAAAAAGTAATATTTTATAAGCATTGTATAAAATAAATTATTTTTCTATTAATAACTAATACAAATTTTATTTAATTAGTGACCAAAGTTATCTATTTTAATTAGGAAAAAGATTAAAAGAGAATAAAACATAGAATTTTACCAAAATAAAAATTCTATATTTTTATCCTCAAAATAAGAGTTAAAATACATATACAATACTAATATATAATACCAAAAAATATTGCAAAAAAACTAATATACAATGTCATATTATCATAACGTAAATTCTAATTTAGAAAGTAAAAATATGAAATACGTAATACTAATTTTTGTACTTTCTCTATATTTTATTCTTATTTCTCGTAAATTCTTTTATAATTACAAAAAAATAAAAACTAAATAAGTACGAGACACGGAAGAAGTATATGGCTAGAATTAGTTTAATTAAAAGCAAAATCTCGTGTTGAAAGACGTACTCATTAAAATTTTACTGTTGACCAAGCAAAATTATTAATAAAAATACTAAAAGGTCGGCAACGGTGAGTCCCCTTCGGAGAGGAAGCCCAACTCTAACCAGAACCAGGAACCCAAGTCTTAGGGGGGAACGGGGACCGCAAAGTGGACCAGGAACGCGCCGACGGATATCACCCCGATCCGCCACCATCTTTGTAGCTCTGCTCGCCTCCCCCCGCAATCTTCCTTGTAGGTGCCACGGTCGTCCCCACATGGGTAGTCGACGGGAACCCGCACATTTTGGATAATATGTTAATAAAATGCACATCAATTTTGAAAAAACTGAACCCAAAAGTTACTGTTAGATGACATTTTCAAAACGGTGAAGCTAATGCCAAACATAGTTGGGAGTGGTTGGAATGCCAACGTCGTCCGAGTCACGTTTGGCACAACAAGTCTTGCTAAGGTTGACAACCTCCCGGAGCAACCGGTTAACTGATTCCTTAACTTCTGGCGTAAGAACAAGCTCTCGAGGCACTGGTTCCGAGGCATAGAGCGCGATGATCCTCGTAACATGATGCAGATAAAGCTGTTTGGCTTCATTGCCTCTCCACATGGTCTTGTTCTCAAACTTACATGAGTCTCTCAAAGCACATTTTCCACACACCTGATCAACAATGCCCCAGAAAGCCACTCATATAAGAATCAAGCAAGCAAAGGAAGGTAATAGTCATATCATGCTTCGTTAAAAGAAGTGAACTCACTGTGTCTTCCTGGATCTTGAAGAACCTACGCAACAATTTAGCAGAATACACATCCTTCTTCACAACAGAAGGGCAGCCAAAGAGGGCCACCTTCTTCAAGTCTTCAGCAGAAAGCCACCTGCGTAAACATGTTGATTTACTAAACTATGTGCAGTAAAATAACAGATCTTACCCTTTCCAAGAGGCATCCGACTCCAAACACACACGAGCAGAACAACATATGAAAGTAACATGAACAAAATAAGAGCACAAACAAAAAAACACACACACACACAAACAAAAAAAACTCAATCACAAAGCAATTAAAGCACACATACAAAGCTGCAGAGATAAAGGAAGCACACGCCAAGCCCTAAGGGTCTATCAAACCACCCTAATCCTTGACCGCCAAACATCCCAAGCTAAGGCCATATCCACAATATACTAAGTTGTGTTTCGTTGTGCTTATAAGTTAGTCAAAATTGCTTATAAGCTACTCCCTCCGTCCGGATTTTAAGTTCCCGGTTTGACTATTCTCCATTTTTAGTGGAAGTTGACTTTGTCTACAATTTGTCCAAAATGCCCCTAAAGCCCAATCCTTCACAACAACTGATTGCTTGCCGCACCAAACAAACCCCAAGCTACGGAACTGTCGGAACACATCGCCGCACCAAACAGACCCCAGTGGCCAGTGCGACGGATCTACTGCACAATCCGAGCAATCTCTCCCTTTCTCTACTGCGCAAACCAGGCCCAAGGCGAATTTCTTGCCACACTAATGGATCTTTAGATTTTGTAGATCTGAAAAAACGAGACCCAAACTCTGGTAGAAGAAGAAAATGACAAAGAAAAAAAAGAAGGGGGAAGAGACGGGGGAGATGAAGGCTAGATCTAGCCGAGAAAAGAAANAACTGTCGGAACACATCGCCGCACCAAACAGACCCCAGTGGCCAGTGCGACGGATCTACTGCACAATCCGAGCAATCTCTCCCTTTCTCTACTGCGCAAACCAGGCCCAAGGCGAATTTCTTGCCACACTAATGGATCTTTAGATTTTGTAGATCTGAAAAAACGAGACCCAAACTCTGGTAGAAGAAGAAAATGACAAAGAAAAAAAAGAAGGGGGAAGAGACGGGGGAGATGAAGGCTAGATCTAGCCGAGAAAAGAAAGGAAAGAAGAAGAAGAAGAAGAATAAGAATAAGAAGAAGAAGAAGAAGAAGAAGAAGGAGATGCAGGAGGAGGAAGGAGAAGGGGAGGAAGATAACGAGAAGAAAAGGGGGAGGGGAAGAGAAAGAGAAAGAAAGAATTCACCTGTGTTGGCGGAGAAGAAATTGGCCGACACAGAGAAAAAGAAACACGGGAAAGGATGGGAAATGAAAAGAATTAAAGGGTATTTTGGGAAGATTGGGTATGAAAACGTAGAATGGGAACTTTATTTCCGGACGAAAAAAAGCGTAGACTGGGAACTTAAAATCCGGACGGAGGGAGTATTTTTAACTAATACGGAGCAAGTCAGCTGATGTCGTGTTCCTCTGTACTTATAAGCAGCTTATAAGTCAAAAACTACTTATCAACAATAAGTCAATAAGCACTGACACATAGAAACATTCTCTAAGTTGTAAATCATGTCTAATCACTTCCGATTCTACCTGAGTCTACCTCTACCCGTCATTACACGGCCCAAACCACAAGCCTCACACCTACTTAGATTAGCATTAATATATCTCCTTATCACACTCCCAAATCACTTCAATCTAGCTTCCAACAACTTATCATAGAGAGAAACAAATCACACCCTTCCCCAAATTAAAAAGCTTCATTCGAAATATAATCCATCCTTGTAGCACCACACATCCTCATCTATGAAACTTCAAGCTGTTGAACACGAGTATAAATTGTGCAGGAAACATATCCAATTTAGTAAAAGAAGTGGAAATTTAGTTCTCACTTGGCAATTTCTTGTTTATCCTCTGCAAATTTTCTAACGGCATGCTTGATGTATTCCCAAGCATAGCTCTGCTCAAAGCAAGTAATGTCAAGCTCCTTGTGATTAACAAAGTTTGCATCTTTGAAGTACCCTTCCTCATACAAGTGAGTCACAAGCTCGGCCATCTCTGGCGATAGTTTCTTCCCGACCACCGGATTCTTAACCGCCGGTGCCTTTGAGCTTTTCGATGGCACATTTACAAACAGTTTGTGCAGATTATAAACCTTAGATTGGTTTCCAGAATCATCATCCTTCTTAGACACCTTGTGTATTTCCATTTTTCTTCTCTCAATCTTTTCCTGCATCGCAATATCTCGCTTCTCTTGCAAAGCTCTGACCTCTTCTTCCAGATCTGTCAATTCACACCTCGCGTGATGGCTCACCTCCGCGTCTCCGCCATGGCTAAGATCTTGAGCAATCCCGACGGCTTCTCTGTAGAAAATATCCAGCGGTTTCTTATTCTTCTGCTCCTCGGCGACAACGTCAACCTTGTCCGAATCAGAATCAATTTTGGTGCGGAAGAGACTGGAAAATGAAATCGATCTCCGATGAATTTCGGGAAGACGCGAAATCCGGCCGACATTGGAAGGAGCGGAATGGGATCGGAGCTTTTGAACGGCGGATGACAAACTCTGAGAACGACTGCTTCTGAGGAAAGCCATTTTTGGAGGGTTTTGAGCCCTCTAAAAATTTTTAATGAACTCATTTCTCTAAATTTTTTATGAGATGCATAAAAAAGAAATAAAAATATTTTTTTAGAGATAGAGAAAATATCTGAATACTCCATATATAATAATTTCTGAAAATTCAAACAATGACTCATATTCAAATGATAAAATACTCCTTAGTATATTTTCATAAGTACTCTATTTATTTTGACTAAATAAAATGTTAATTTAATTTAGTACATATCCAACACATATACATAAAAAATATATGTATGCTCATTTGAAAACTACTATCTTGGTCTCGGTGTATTTGTCCAATTTGAATTTTTTAAGTCAAACTAAATAAACTTTAAACTTTAGTTGCTCTCAATTTTTATTGCACATTAGAATAATCAAATACAATTTTAAAAGCTCTCCATACGATAAATTTAATAAAATCATTTTTACATTTAAAATATATTACATTTTTTATTTAATTCAAGTTCAAAGTTATCCAGTTTGATTCAAAAAAGTCAAACAGAACAAATACACTAAGACGGAGAAAGTATGTTATACACATTACATTTATAGAGTATAAATTTACGAAAAACACAATATTGATAATATTATTTGCATTGGTTCAAAAAAACACAATATTGTTTTCAACTAAAATAAAAAACAATATACAACTAAGCTAAAAAAAATACTCCCTCCGTCCTCAATTTGATTACAAATTGCGGGTTACGGAGTAAAATTTCCTACTTCTTGAAATCATTTTATTTATAAATTGGTATATCAATAATATATAAAAATTACTAGACCTGTGCAAACAAGGGTCGGCCCGTTTGGCCCACTTAGTCCGCCCTCTAAAAAGGGCGGATATGGACAACCTTTAATACCCACATGGGCGGGCCGGCCCGAGCCTGAATTGTTTTTGGGCGGATTTGGAACTTACTTTTAGCCCATCCAGGCCAACAGGCCCGCCCATATTCATCAAAAATATTTACTTCATTATTAATTATCTAGCCAATATAATTTAGAAAAATTGTTATAGTTCATGTATAATAGTTCAATTCACTTACCTCTCTTAAACAAAAATCCATATTCTTTTAATGAATTAGTATGATGGGTTTTTTAATTATGCAACAATTCCTCTGTTATACTTTCTATGTAAATTTGGCGAGTGGTGATTTTATTTTAAACATTGAAAAAAGAGTACAATGTTTTTTTTGAATATTTTGTACAAAAAAAGTTTTCATGGTGTTTTATCCGGGCCGGGTGGCCTGGTGGGTAGTTCGGCCCGCTAAGGTGGGTGGGTATGGGTAAAGAGTTTAGTCCATCAAATGCGGGTCGGGCTAGACCCGCCCATGTAAATGGGCTAATAATTTGTATCCAGCCCGGCCCAGATCCGGCCCGGATCCTTATTTGCACACGTCTAAAAATTACATATTAAAAAACTACGTCAAAAGTTCTACAAAACAGGAGGTGACAAGAATATTTTATTTTATCAAATACTTAATGAAATCGCGTAAACAAATAAAAGTGAAATCAATATTCAATTATTCAAAAATGATATTGTTGGAAATGTACAGCAAATAACGCCAATACCATATATATTGTCATTTGTGTTGATATGTAATTCTCTCTAAAGATTTTATCTTAAATAAAAGTAAAATAGAGAAAAAGTAACAAAATCTATATTTTTATAGTTATGTGCCACATGGTAATGTTTGTGGTCATAATTAATACTGGAAATGCATTTTAGCTCTTATTTCCAAAATAAAAACATAGAATTTATATTTTAGTATATTTTTATCATTTCATTACATATTTACGATTAATTACACCCTCCATATTTTAAAACTTGTAGATGATTAGAAGAGGGGAGTGTATCAACTCGATCAAGAGATGGTGCGAGAATCGTTTGCAAAAAAAAATTTACGTGGATAAATTTATTCAAAAATAATATTAAAAAAAGATCAAAAACATATTTTGTTAATATATTTAGATGGATTGAAATGGATTGAAAACATTAGCTTTAGGTTATTAGGAGAACTATTTGTAATTTTTTTTACAGAGTTCTTTCATTAAAAAACGTTTTAGAGAGAAGAAAGATAAAATTCGTTAAATTTTTAAGAATTATATATATATATATATATATATATATATATATATATATATATATATATATATATATATATATATATAATTTTAAAAAAGACGAAGAAAGATTAAATTAATGCCTCCATCTTCTAAGAATCTTTAAATAAAGCAGAAAGGTAGTTACTCATTTGCTGCTACTTTTAAATTTGCAAATTGTTTATTGAAGTATGTTTTGTAAGGTGATTTAAATGACATTAGTCATTTGTGAATATTAATAAAAAGTTAGAAATAATTTTATAAATAATTTGGTTAAAACAGAAAAACAAAAAAAAGTGAACTTAAGATAATAGATAAGAGTTATTTATTGTGTTTCTTATAAATCAACTTATGAATAGAAAATCCGTTACTAACTACGAAATACTCCGTAACTTATAAGTTAAGAAAAACAACTTATACCCCAGAGTGAATAATTCTTACTAACTAACAAGTACAGAGAAATATTTATCAAATAAACTAATTAATATAAATCAGACAATTGATAAAAATGAAAGAAAATGAACAAAATTTAGCAATAGGATGACATGATGCGGCAACAAGAGAGGATAATTAAATTAAATAAATAATATTTGAAATATAAAAAGGATTAGTTAAATTAAAATTGTGCATAAGTGAGATTCGAAATACTCTACCAGTAATATGAATATCAATATAATTTCCTTAAAAAGAAGCTTTGCTTTGGAACATATAGTAAATGAGATCGATAGATTTTGAATTGATTTTTTGAACTACTAAGCTGCAATTCTGCAAATAAGCTGTAAAATCCACTACAAATTAGTCAGGTGCGGGGTGGGGGTAGGAATAATCAATTTTCAATTTTCAAACAGAGCACCGTAATCCTATGATGTTCCCTTTGATGTTCAAATGAACCAATGGTGTCATAGTATGACATTGGTACACAGTGTCAATCAAACCAGGTTGCTAAATTTTAACCATTCTAAAGTTGGGGGGAAATGCACAGGTTGTCATACTTTTCAGCTGGTTTCCAACATTTCCATTTTCAGCTGGTTTCCACCATTTCCACCAACCTAAGTTGTTTGCAAGCTTTGTAGAATAGATTTTGCAAAAGTTGTCAATACTAAGATCATCCAAAAAAAACCCCCCAACAACAACCTAGTAATTGTCCCATAGAGGCCTTGACCTTACCTACAAAAAACAGAAACTGATGGCGGAGGAACTGATTCAGTCTAGTTGGAAGTGGTTGGAATGCCCACGCCGTCCGATTCGCTTTTCACAGAACGAGTCTTGCTAAGGTTAACAACCTCCCTAAGCAACCGATTAACCGATTCCATAATTTCTGCTGGAACAACCAGTTCCTCAGGTATTGGTCCCAAGTCATAGAGCGCGATAACCCTCATCACATTATGCAGTTGAAGCTTTGGGACTTTAACAGGCAACAAATCCTGGCACTCAAACTTACACGACTCTCTTATAGCACATTTAATACACACCTGGCCAATACCAGAAAAAAGATGCACTCCGTAAGATGGCAAGCAAGGGGAAAGTCATTTTATTTGTTAGAGGAAATCGCAGCATGAGCTTATGGTTGAGTTGGGTACAAACCATGCAAACCATATGAAGTAAACTCACCGTGTCTTCTGGAATCTTGTAAAACCTGCGCAATAATTTAGCAGAATGTACACCCTTCATCACAACGGAAGGGCAACCAAAGCGAGCCACCTTCTTCAAGTCTTTAGCAGGAAGCAACCTGAGCAAACATGTTGATTAACAAAACTATGCAGTACAACAACAACATATCTAGTAAAACCTTATAGAGTGCGGTCAAGTGTTGTGTGTGTGTGTGTGTGTGTGTGTGAAGACCGTACTCCTACCCTAATAGTAGACAAGCTGTTCGAAAAGAGACCATCAGCTAGAGAATATAAGAGCAGAACGACAAACGAAAGAAGCACAAACAAAATAAGATCATAAACCAAACAAGCACACATACAGAAACTTAAAAAAATTCATGTCGCAATTCACAAATCACACATGCAGAAGCTACAGACTAGGAGATAACAAGCACACATGCAGGAAATGCAGGCTAAAGCCAATAGGATTAACTAACCACCCTAATCCTGGACTTCAAGAAGTTTCTATCTTAGGTCATGATACTAATGTTGCAAGTCATCTCTAATCACTTCCAACTCCTACTAACAACAACAACAACATCCCAGTTGAATCCCACTAGGGAGGGTGTGTGTACGCAGACCTTGCCCCTACTCGGAAGTAGGGAGGCTGTTTCCAAGAGACCCCCGGCTCAACCTGCACAAAAATATGGAAGGGAACCCAGTATAGCACGGGTAAAGCACCAAGTACAAGCAATAACAAAAGATTCCAAACAAACACAACACACTACAAACAACCTCTACAGTACCGAGCTCCTATCCAGCTACTCTAATCCTAGTTCTCCAAAGGTTCCTATCTAAGGCCATATCCTTAGTCAGGGTGAGAAGTCCTAAATCCTGCCTAATCACCTCCTACTAAATTTACATCTAAACCTCATAACCTCTACTATTAACCTCTTGCACCTCCTCACGGGGTAATTTGTACTCCTCCTCTTCATGGAATAACTTTCCATAGATTGTCCTGCACAAAAACCTTCCCTGAAATACTTCATTGATTCATTCTACAGATTATCCGTCCTTGTAGACTGTAGAGTACATGTGTTCCTCATCTTTCGTCTATTGTTCCATTTGATGTATATATACATGTTTTGTATTGCTTGTAAAGTACGATGCATGAATCATCTTTGAAAACATATCCAAATAAGCAGCACATGATCATTCATTCAATCAATCATTATATATATGCATACGAATAACTGAATGCAGGAAGTGAAGTTTTAGTTCTCACTTGGCAATTTCTTGTTTGTCCCTCCCAAACTGGACAACGGCACGTTTTATGTGATTCCGAGCGTAGTTGTGCTCAAAGCAAGTAATGTCGAGCTCCTTCTTGTTGACAAAGTTTGCATCTTTGAAGTACCCTTCCTCATACAAGTGAGTCACAAGCGTAGCCATCTCAGGCGATAGTGGCTTCCGGACTTCTGGAGTCTTTGATCTTTTTAATGGAATTTTAAATGGGTTTCCTAAATCATCATCGTCGTCGTTCTTAGACACCTCCTCTATTTCTCGATTTTCCAGCAAAAATCTGGAATCTTCTTCCAGATCTGTCAATTCACACCTCGCACGATGGCCTTCCTCGACGGCGCCGGCTCCGACCTTGTCCGAATCCGAATCAATTTTGGAGCTGAAGAGACTGGGAAGTGCAATTGATCTCCGCTGAACTTCCTGAAGACGCGAAATGTGGCCGAGGCTGGGAGAATCCGGACGGAATCGGAGCTTTTGAACGGCGGAGAACAAACTCCGAGAACGAGTTATGCTTCGAAGGAAAGCCATTTTCAGAGGGTTTTGAGCTCTCTGAGAAATGCGGAGGAGGATGCTTGCAGGGGTTTTCGTTGGGGTTTTTGGGGTTCCATCCAGCAATTTTGCAGTGAACGGGCCTGACCGGGTGTCGGGCCAAGCCCAATACGTATTATTACGATTTTTATAGGCCCGTTATCAGCCCGTCACATATTATAGGCATATCATTTTTGGCCCACTTATTTCATTTTTTTTAGAAATGAGAATTTTATTCTGATAAAACCCAAAAAGAAAAGTGAAAAGATTAACTCGAAACACTGTGATTATTTTCATTCCATCTCATAGAATTTAGGATCCATTTAGGATTAATTTTTTTGGTTTGGAAAAGTTAACTTCTAATTTTTTTAATTCTTTTCCATTTTTTCCCACTTCTTGTTTCTACCAATTGTTTCTAATATTTTTCAAGGTCTTCTATTTTTTTTCTAACGACTTAGAAATACGGAGTAGCATTTACATATCTCCATCAATAACTTTTATTGATTAAATCTATCAATAACTTTTCTTAACTCATACAGTTTCATTTGTGATTTGATACAATAAAATATTTTGTCACAATTTCTTTTTTAGGAGTAGAACTTTTGATTTTATTTTCAAATATGTAATAATACACAAATTTATAGATAAATCATTTTTAAAATGTAAAATTTTGCACGTTGTTCGTATAGTGTACATGAATTTGGGACAACGGAATCAAAAAATTGCTGCTAGGTACCCCTAATTTTGAGATAAAGACTAGCAGGTCCCATTGTTTTTCAAAATATACTCCGAGGTACCTTAAGATATTCGAAAACTGACTCCGGGGTGACAATCCGTCATTCTCTCCGTTAACATTTCTTCTCTGTTATCCTCCTCCTCCTCCTCTTCTCAAAAAATTGCTGCCAGGTACCCCTTATTTTCGGATAAAGACTGGCAGGTCCCATTTTTTAAAAAATTTACTCATGGGAATTTAAAATATGATGTTTGTGACTGAAGAGGGAACTTACGTATCATTTATAAAATTAAAATTATTTATTCACTTGGTTATAAATTATACGTCGTAATTCATAATAATATTAAATTTAACACTATTTTTATTGTTTCATATTATCTTTACAAGACATATTAAATTTAACACTATTTTTATTGTTTCATCTTATTCTTTTCTCAAGTCCTCTTGTTTTCTCGATTTACCATGACACCATTACCAATGACGACTATCAATAACTAATGCGGAGTACTATTTTTCTAAATAATAATGATTGTTATTCCGTATTTCTTAAAAATAGAGTAATAAAATTACTACTCTGCAATTAACTTTTAATAATAATTAAGGAAATAATAGAAAATACATAATATTATCAATTTTGACCAAAAAAATAAAAGTAGACAAATACTCTAGAACAGATGAGTAATTAATATGAAGTAATAATAATAACTAGTGGTATTTTTTAAAAAAGTATAGAAGTAAAATTACTAATTAATTGCTTAAAATAAATAATAGTATTAATAATAAGTGTTATTTTATAATAAGTGCTATTTTTCTAAATAACAATTAGTGTTTTTATAGAAAAGAGTGGTAAAACAAACAATTAATTTTTAATAATAATAGTAATAATAATAAATCAAAAAATTAATAATAATAATAGAATAAGAAAATAATAATTATGAAGTAATTAATTATAATAATTATTAACAAATAATAATAATTATAATAGAAGAAGAAAAAACGGGGGTGGGGGAGGAATGGAGGTCACTGGAACTCTGGAAGGCAGGAGAAAGAAGAAGAAAAGAAGAAAAGAAGAAGAAGAAAACAATGGGACCTGCCAGTCTTTATCCGAAAATAAGGGGTACCTGACAGCAATTTTTTGAGAAGAGGAGGAGAATAACGGATTGTGACCTCGGAGTCAGTTTTCGAATATCTTAAGGTACCTCGGAGTATATTTTGAAAAACAATGGGACCTGCTAGTCTTTATTCCAAAATTAGGGGTACCCAGCAGCAATTTTTTGCAACGGAATCATTATGAATATACAATAATATCATGCGGAGTATATATTTTAATTTATAACATACTACCTCAAACACAAGCACGAATGAATTCTTTATTATCGCAAATTAGTTTTTTTGCATATTTATTTGATCGATCATTTAATCGAATAATTTTTTGATCTTTCATTTTTTCCAACATTTTTTTCTAATTCTTTCCCGTTTCTTCCAAATCTTTTCAATTTCTTCTAACCCTGCCCATTTCTTCCTACATTCAACTTTTAAATTCCAACAAAAAAGAACGGACATTTAGTTAGAGAAAAAACACACTCCCACCCACAAAAATGGTACTTTCTCCGTCTTAAAAAAATATTTACTTATTGCGGATATTAAAAAAAATGAAATTGAGTAATTGAACCGCAGACGCCTTAACAATATACTCCCACCCACAAAAGTTATAGTCCAATAAAATCCAACAACCTAGTTATCGTCCCATAGAGGCCTTAACCTTACTTACCTATAAAAGCAGATAAACTGACGGCGGGGGAAATAATTCAGTCTAGTTGGCAGTGAATTGAATGCCAACATCCTCCGAGTCGTGCTTGGCCGAACGAGTCTTGCTAAGGTTGACCACCTCCAGCAGCAACCGATTAACCGATTCCTTAATTTCTGCTGGAACAACCAGTCCCTCGGGTATCGGTCCCAAGGCATAGAGCGTGATAATCTTCATCACATGATGCAGATGAAGCTCTGTGACTTTAAAACGACTCCACATATCCTCGTTCTCAAACTTACACGAGTGTCTTAACGCACATTTTCCACACACCTGGTCAATACCAGAAAGTGATGTAAGAAGCAAGCAAAGGGAAAGTCATTATATCACAGCTTGAGCTTATGGTTGAGTTGGTTCCTAGCAATACTATGCTTTTAAAAAAATACATATAAACGCGTACTACTACTGAATTTGATTATAAAGCATGCAAGCCATATGAAGTAAACTCACCGTGTCTTCCGGAATCTTGAATAAGTGACGCAAAATTTTAGCAGCTTGTATGCCCTTCTTCATAACAGAAGGGCAACCAAAGAGAGCCACCTTCTTCAAGTCTTCAGCAGGCAGCAACCTGAGCAAACATGTTGAGTTACATAACCATGCAGTACGAAAACAACATATCTTGTAAAACCCCAAAAAGTGAGGTCAAGTGTAGTGTGGGTGCGCAAACCTTACACCTACCTCAATAGTAGAGATGTTGTTTGATAAGAGGCCATCAGCTAAAAAAAATAGAGCAAAACGGAAAACGAAAGAAGCACGAACAAAATAAGAGCATAAACCAAACATGCACACATACAGAAAATTGAAAAGAAACTCAGTCGCAATTCAGAAATCACAGTATCACACATGCAAAAGCTACAAACTAAGAGTTAAATGCACGCATGCAGGAAACACAAGTTAAGGCCTATAGGATTACCTAACCGCCCAATCATGGACTTTGAGATGTTTCTACCTGAGGTCATGATACAAAGAGGGTGCTTGAGAGTAATTAACGTGTGTGTAAAGTAATTTTCACAAAAGCCGAAAATAAAAGAATCTTCTATATATATGCTTCTCCCAAATGGTGTTCTATGTGTAAACTTTTGGCGGGAAAAAATAGAAGTTGACATGCCAAACACAGTAAAACTGCTACCACCTAAAGCTGAAGCTAAATTCTAATAGAGCAACGCACTGCCAAACATCATCTAAAATTGTAATCACTTCCAACTCTAACTAGGTCTTCATTTATCACTCATAACCTCTACGAACCTCTTGCACCTCCTCACGGGGTAATTCATACTCCTCCTCGTCACGGACTCACAGTCTAACTTTTTGTAGCTTATCCTACACAAAAACTTCATTCTAGATATTATCCATCCTTGTAGGGCCAGACCTAAGCGTCCTCATCTATGCGCTGTTGTGGAGACTGGTAGTAAGATGCCAGCTATGCTTCTAGTTAAGTTAGTTTTAACTAACTAATTCAGTTAGCTTTAGAACACGTGTTCCTCATCTTTGGTATATTGTTCCGTTTGGTGTATATATACATGTTTTGTTTTGCTTGTAAAGTAAGATACATGAATTCAGCTTTGAGAACAAATGAGATGTAAAAAGTTCATTTTCTTCAGTTTTCTGCTCCTTTGTTTACTGAAAAAATATCAGCTGACAAACTTTACTACATATTGTCAAATTCTACACAAAACATGTCCAAATAAATAGCACACATCATTCATTCACACATAAATGAATAATCGAATGCAGGAAGTTAAGTTTAAGTTCTCACTTGGCAACTTCTTGTTTATCCTTCCCAAACTGGACAGCGACACGCTTTATGTAATTCCAAGCGTAGTTGTGCTCAAAGCAAGTAATGTCGAGCTCCTTCTTGTTGACAAAGTTTGCATCTTTGAAGTACCCTTCCTCATACAAGTGAGTCACAAGCATAGCCATCTCCGGCGATAGTGGCTTCCTGACCGATGGTGCTTTAACAAACGCTTTGCGCAGACTATGAACCTTAGATTGGTTTCCTGAATCATCATCATCATCGTTCTTAGACGCCTCCTCTATTTCTCGATTCTCTTGCAAAACTAGGGATTCTTCTTCCGGATCTGTCAATTCATGCCTCGCGCGATGGCCTTCCTCCGTGGTGCCGACGTCGACCTTGTCCGAATCGGAATCAATTTTGGAGCTGAATAGACTGGGAAATGAAATCGATCTCCGCTGAGTTTCAGGAATACGCGAAATGTGGCCGAGACTGGGAGAATCCGGACGGGATCGGAGCTTTTGAACGGCGGAGAACAAACTCCGAGAACGAGTAATGCCTCTAAGGAAAGCCATTTTTAGAGGGTTTTGAGCTCTCTGAGAAATGCGGATGATGCTTGAAGGGGGGTTTTTGTGTTGGGGTTTAGGGTTTTGAGCCATTTAAATCATTTTGTACTCTTCAATTTTAACTTTTGATTAGCATTTATTCTTATTAAAACTAATTCAAATCAAATCAGATTTTATCTTCAAATTATATTTGGTTAATTCAGATAAAAGCTCATATTAGATCATAATTAGTTTTACTTATATTAGATGCAATTTAATTTAGCAAATTTCTTCATGTTAGATCTATTCAATTCACTAAAAAGTTCAAAAAATGTTACTCCGTACTATTTCGTATATGATTAAATAATAGGCGGCGAAGTAGTTCCAATGCTCTTATAGTTTAAAATTTTAGATCATCTACACATACTCTCTTATTATTTTCCAGTTATTTTTCTAGTCAAAAGCGGTATTGGTGTTAATTTTCAAAATCAAAGACGACGAACTCATTTTCCATTTTCCATTCCTATTTGTTTTTCCCCTTTTTTCTCTATTTGTTTCTTTTCTCTATAAAGGTTTTTCCAATTTCTTTTTAAAATTATTTTTAAATTTTAAAATTGTTTATGTTTGAAATAAAATGAAAAATAACATATAGTCCATTTGTCTCAACAACAACATGACCACACTATCTATAAGATTCTGTTTTCTTTAACTTATTACTATTATTTTTTTATTTGAATCAGATAAAAAATAGATTTAAATATAACTATATTTATATCAAACCAAATAAAACCTAGCTAGATCAGAATGTTGATAAAATTGTTTTATTTCATAAAAATATGTGGAAAAGATAGAAATAATTTGACATGTGAATAATAATTAAGAAAATGAAATTGGGATAGAAAAATATTAAGCGCTAAAATAAATTGAAAAATATTTATAAACTTAAATTCTAGTGAATGTTACTCCCTCCATCCTAAAATATATACTCGTACAACACTTCACTATTTAAAAATCACGGGAATTTTTATTTATTTTTATGTTTTAATTGATTATTTGAGAAAGTAAAATATTTTTATTTCACTTATTTTGTAGAATTATTTACATAATTTTTTAATATAAATATTATTTTTTTACTTGTAACTCATTCTTTAAATAAAATGTATTTAAAAAATTTTAAAAATTACTGCATTTAGCATATTATTGCATACATTTTGTATTACAAAAATATTTAATATTTAGGAGCAGTACTCATAATTGTACAAGGTTAAAATATTTTTTCTAAAACTCAAATTTCCAAAAAAATTGAAAAAGGAGAAATCTCATTAATGCATCCATCTATCGTCTTCTTCCAATCGAATCTCTTAATTAAAGCCTCTGTCACCCTTTTTCATTCAATCAATCCCCTTTCACATTCAGATCTCTCTCCAAAGAAAGAGAGAAAAAAAAATTCAGATCCAATCAAGACCTCCTTAAATCCTGGCAAGGTCTGATTAGTGATCAGCAGCACTTCTTGGAGGAGGACAGCAATGGCTCCACCACTCTCTGCATGCAGCTGCAGAGGTTTGATTAAGGTACTGTCAGTACTCCTCCTTTTGCTAGCTTTTGCTCAGGCCCATTATTCCCATAGTAGGCCTAGAAGAATGTTGCAGGTTGATGATGAAGATCAAGATCATCATCATCATCCACCCATGAAGAAGATCATGAAGGACAGTAACAGTGACACTAGCAGCAGCAGCACTTCACTTTCCACCAAGAACAAAACCAAGCTCCTCAAGTCAACCATTGCCAAGAACCAAACTTCTAAAGTTCTCAAGTCTGGGTTTGGTCTTGTCTCCCCAAAAAACCAGACCAAACTAAAGATTTCTTCATCTTCTTACCCAGTTTCAATCTCCTCCTCCAAGAACAAGACCAAGCTTTCCAAACCCAATTCAGAATCTGTCATTACAAACAAAGTCTCCTCCTCTAAGAACAAGACCAAGCTTTTGAAACCCAATTCAGAATCTGTTATTACAAACAAAATCTCATCTTCTAAGAACAAGACCAAGCTTCTGAAACCCATTTCAGAATCTGTTACTATAAACAAAATCTCTTCCTCTAAGAACAAGACCAAGCTTATCAAACCAATTTCTATGAAACCCTCAAAAAATTCAACGAAAACCAGCACCAAGTCCTCAGATCTACCCAAACCCACCTCACCGTCTTCCCAAAACCGAACCAAATCGCAGGTAGAAAAAAAGGGTTCATCAAAAACCTCCGAATCCAAATCCGGATCGAGCCAAAACGTGCCAAAACCGTTCTGGATCGACGACGGAGACGACGACGATTTGATCGCCGAGTTCAGAGACATGCCGTCCAAATTCCAGCAAACGCTGTTGCCAGATCTGGAACGGATCTCGAGAACATCAAAAGTCTACATGAACAAGGCGAACAGAGAAATCACGAACAATTTCAAACCGATCGTCGGCAACAAATACGCGCCCGCCGTGGCGTCGATCATCTCCCTGGCGTTCATTCTCATCCCGTTGGTCCTCGTTTCTCTGATCTTCAACCGATTCAAGGCCTATTTCTCCCTGCAGAAGTTCCTGATCTTCGTCCAGATCTACCTCTCCATATACTTCTCGATCCTCTGCCTCTCCTCGCTCGTCACGGGCCTGGAGCCGCTCCGGTTCTTCTACGCCACATCGCAGTCCACCTACATCTGCATACAGCTCCTCCAGACGCTCGCTTACGTCCTGTACCTTCTGCTATTGCTCATGTACATGGCGCTCGTCTTCTCCACTGAAACCGGGCCGGCCTCCAAGCTCATAGGCCTGGTCCAGACGCTCGTGGGCTTCACGGTTGGGCTGCATTACTACATGGCGGTTTTCCATCGGGCCGTGTTGCGCCAGCCGCCCAAGACGAGCTGGAGGGTCCACGGAATTTACGCCGCTTGTTTTCTGGCCATTTCTCTGTTGACTCAAGCTGAGAGGAGGAAGAAGGCTTATGTGGAAGAGGGTGGAGGTGATGGGAAAAAGAGCTGAAAAAGGAGAAAAAGAAGTGTAAGTTTAATTTATTGATATATTTACCTTTCCACAAATGTAATTTATTACAAGTGTTTTGTATTATTAGTATTATTGTTATTCCATACATGTAAGCATTTGGATACCAATTGTTGGGAACAACAAGAATAAAGATTGTGTTGAATGTTTTGGAAAAATTGTGTCAATTTTGTTTGTGCATTTGGATTGGTAGCATCCATGTCATGATCCTTGTAAAGAGTGATTTGATTAGTCTTTAATCGGTTAAACTATCCTGACAGTTAGGGTCGGGCTTCAGAAACTCAAAGATCAGAGCTTGCCAAAAATTCATGTTTTGTCGGGTCAAGAATGAGGCATGACATGAGGCTTGGGTCCAATGGCGGTATGTGAAGTCGATTAGAAAGTTGAAATTCATGAGTTGATGGGTGTAAACCTAATCTTAATCAGGTTAAAGGAGTTCACTTTATCCTCATATGAAAATATTAAATTGATAGAGTTCTAGTGCAGTTTCAAGAATTATATAAGGTTAAATTGAAGATGCTGGTGTAGCTTATGTTTGACTTGACAATGTTTTGGCATGAGGGATACCTTTCAAAGATTTGAAGATTGCACATACACTGGATTAGAGAGACTCAAAGATTCCACATGATTAGACTTACGTATTGCTTTAAAGTGCTAAAAGCAGAATTTGGTATAATTGCCTAGCTGCTTAGGTTTATTCTTGACATCACATTCTTCCCTCGTAAATGCATGTTTAAACCTTCATTTAAGGGACCCAAATTCAATCTACTAACTTTTGTGTGACCTGTTCATAGATTTTCATTATTTCATTCATTATATTTTTATAAATACTTCAAAGATTATCTTCAGTCCAATAAAAATGATAAGTCTGATCTTATTTATTTACACATTATCATTCTTTTACTTTGTTTCATCGCGCACTCATTCAATTTGTTCTCTTTTCAAACATTTCATATTTTTATTAATCATTTTACATCTTAACAAAAAAGATAGTGTGAGAGGTGTGCGATCCAATAATTGAATAACTTGTTTCTCATTCTATCAGTCTCTTCCATTATTTTTATTCATATTCACTCTATTCTCGAATTGAAGAATCATATTTGACTGGTGTATCTATTGAGAAAAATAAAATTTATACAAAGAACAAAAATAATGTTACAACTTATTAAAATGTTTTTAATGGAGTATCAAAATAGAATGTAATGGGTCGATATTGAGTTAAACTCATTTTGAATGATCTATATGTATTTGTGAGTTAACTTCGTCCCTATATGTTATTTTGCATCAAATTAAATTGGTCCATGTATTTAAAATTAAAAGTGTGAATTAAACCAATTCTTATAATAAAATTTATTTTAACAGTATTCTTAAAACGTTATGATTACACATTAATTGACAAAATTTATCATTACAAACCAATGTTAGTTCCATGTTTAAAAATATTATTCATTTCGTCTTGAAATTATCTTTTTAATTACTATTCATAAAATTAAATATTTTTTCATTTCCTTACATATTTGAAAATTGAAGTAAAATTAAAAATAGACTTTAAATATTTCAAAAATTATAAAAATTTTGCATAAAAATACTCCGTAGATACTATTATATCACTCCATAAAGTCTGACATTCTGAATATAGTGTATAAGAAATTTATTTTAAAAAGCAGATACTTAAATGCAAATGAGTCTATCAAGCCCACCGCCAAGATCCGGAGAGCATGGGCTTCAACGACAAGCCCATAACAAAGGTCTAACTGATGTTTGGTAAAGACTACCACCAGAAATCGAACCTAAAAAACTTGATTTGGATCGGCTTAAATAAGATTTTCTACTAGAAATCGAACCTAAACAAAGGTTGTCAAATTTTTTTTGAAAACTTGAACTTTCAAATTTTTATACCGAAAAATCCTATAGGGTTTTGTATGCGCAATTGAGCATTTCATGTTCCAAAGTGTTGAATCGTTATTTTCTCTGCATCTTCCATTTTGCTAGCCAAATACTTTAAAGATGGATTGTTATCCCCGGTATGCCTCCACGGCACCTAATCCCGACTACAACCTATTCCTCTTCCAACATCTATCGCGGGGTATAAGTTTAATTGATTTTGAGATCAAAATTTTTGCGCTATTGAATTGATATGGGTAAGGTGATGGGTTAGATCAGACAATTAAAAGGTAT